GGCGTATGAAATTTTTAGGGGGAAAATTGCTAACTCGGGTGCCAGGAAAGTTAGAAAGCTGAAATTCTGGGGGAATATTCCCCATCGAAGTAGAACTCACATATTTCGAATTCAACCCCAATCTGTGCGTGACACTCGCGTAAGGGCGTATGAAAGTTTCAGGGGGAAATTGCTAACTCGGGTGCCAGGGAAGCTAGAAAGCTGAAATTTTGGAGGAGTGTTCCCTATCGAAGTACAACTCAAATATTCCAAATTCAGCCCCAAGCTATGCATAGTATTCACGCTAGGGCATATGAAAGTTTCTGCAGGAAAGCTACTAACTCGGCAGCCAGAAAAGCTGGAAGGCTGAAATTTTAGGCCGATGTTCCCTGTCCATGGTGCAATTTAAAAGTTTCAAATTCAGCTTTCCGAGCACGTGGAGTACCCAACCAAGTACGGGTGTATGAGATTTTAGCGGGAAAACTGCTAACTCGGTAACCAGAAAAGCTGAAAAGCTGAAATTTTGAGGGAATGTTCCCTGTCCAAGTACAACATAAGTATTTCAAATTCGTTGAGGTATGCGTGGTTCTTACGTGCGAGCACTTGAAAGTCTTGATGCAAAAATTTCTCACTGAACAACTAGGTTACTTTTAAAGAACGATTGTTAAATGGAAATCATACATTTACTTTGAAAAATTTATGGTAATTTATGCTGGTGACCGCAAAAGGTAAGTGTGGAGCAACAGCCATTCATACAGTGAATGGCCTGAGTTATTCAAGTTCGGTGCAAAAACGTATTATTGCACTGGCCCAGCCGGTGCGTTCCAGCCTGGGTTAATTTCATCTTCCGTGGATGCCTGGGTACCGCGTACGGACGCTTTAAAAAAGTATACAAATTTTTGGCGGGAAAGCGATCTCGGAAACCACACAAGCTAAGGAGCTGAAAATTTGTAAGAATACTCCTTGTGCATGTGTTAGCTAAAGATTTCAAGTAATTCAGCCCCCAGGTATGCGTGATATTCACGTATGAGCGTAAGTTTTGGCGGAAAAATTAGGTAACTCGGGAATCAGGAAAGCTAGAAAGCCGAAATTTTGGGGGCTTGCTGTTCAACTACAACTTAAATATTACAAACCCAGCTTTCAGATATACGTGTTTCTTACTTGCGGGCACGTGAAAG